AGATGAGAAGCTCAACATGAGCTGGCAGTGTACTCATGCGGCCCAGAAGGCCAACCGCATCCTGGGATGTATCAAGAGAAGCGTGGTCAGCAGGTCACGAGAGGTGATTCTCCCCCTCTACTCTGCTCTTGTGAGACCCCATCTCGAATACTGTGTCCAGTTCTGGTGTCCCCACCATAAGAGACACATAGATGTGTTGGAGTGTGTTCAGAGGAGGGCCACAAAGATGATCCAGGGGCTGGAGCACCTCTGCTACGAGGACAGGTTGCGGGAGCTGGGATTGTTCAGCCTTGAAAAGAGAAGACTTTGGGGGGATCTAATAGCTGCCTTCCAATTCCTGAAGGGAACCTACAGTTGGACGGAGCCTTGAGTAGCCTGATCTAGTTGAGAGGCGCCCCTGCCCATGGCAGGGAGGTTGGATTAGATGATCTCCAAGGCCCCTTCCAGCCACCCACGATACCCACGATACCCACGATACCCACGATACCCACGATACCCACGATACCCACGATACCCACGATACCCACGATACCCACGATACCCACGATACCCACGATACCCACGATACCCACGATACCCACGATACCCACGATACCCACGATACCCACGATACCCACGATACCCACGATACCCACGATACCCACGATACCCACGATACCCACGATACCCACGATACCCACGATACCCACGATACCCACGATACCCACGATACAAGGCCCCTTCCAGCCACCCACGATACCCACGATACCCACGATACCCACGATACCCACGATACCCACGATACCCACGATACCCACGATACCCACGATACCCACGATACCCACACTTGGCCCTACAGTGCAGTGCAGCGAAATTCTGGGCACCAGGCAGGAGTCTGCATGACCATTTGAGAAGCAAAAATAGTCCAATGTTTGCACATAATGGAAATAAGTTGGACCAGTCCCAGATTTTTATCAGCAAAGACAACTACAACCCTACATGCTATACCAGGGAACATTGGCTTGTATCCTACCAACCCACAGAAGCATCTACTTCTGAGTGAGGGCCTCAAAGAAATCTGGCCAATTCTCCAAGTTTGGGGGTTTTACATTCCTTTCTACTCTCTGCCAGGACAGAAGAACCTATTTTGTGAAGTATGAAGTTTACCAGCCAAGGGCAAAAAGGCTGTATCACAAATGGAACTCAGCAGTTATGCAGAATCTACACCACCGTTACTCATTACTAAAGCAGCTCTCAAAACACCATCCTGTACACATGATGAGAAACTGTTACATTCCAGTCTACAAAATATCCCTTTCAAAGGCAAGTGGAGCAGAGGCAATGGGAAGAAAGTGATTTGTTGAATATTCAGCTGGAAAAGGAGAAAACTACAGCTTGTGACCAGGCTAGCTGGTGTTCTGGTGTGGTCATTCAGATATCTGCAGTTAGAAGTCATCTTAGAAAATTATCTGTAAAGATACTCAAGATAACGCTAAAGAATTTGCAAAGAATTGTTTTCTTAGGAGACTTTTGTTTACAAATAGGATATGATAGGTATTAAAATTATCACCAATTAATTTTGAGAGAAAACATACATGAAGTTATCAAAACCACTTTTTTCCCCTGAGGGATCTGGAATTAACTAAATAAAACTATCTTCAGAGATTAAAGATCAGCTATTTCTTTTAAGCATATCAATTTACATAATTCTTAACGCAAAAAAATGTATAACTCAAGCAAACTCTTTTAATTGTACGTTTGTGTACAAATAAGAACTTCACATGTTGATGTGTTTAGTACTTTCAAAGCTTTAGTTCTTTAAGATCACTTTTTGCTTAAAAAAACAAAGGTCTTGATGGAACAAGGTCTCGATAGAATAAGAAACAAGATATTTAGTTCCTGAGTGATTTTAAATTTTCTTCAGTGGCAAGAAGTTGAGTTAAAACAACATTCAGGCCACCAGTCGTTCTTTCCCCTAGTCCTCTATCAGCAGAGTAGCTGATTCCATGTTCTGTGCAGTTGATGAAGAAATTGGCTCAAATTTTCTGACCAGCAATCTTTAAGAGACACATCGATTTGTTTTGAAGGAAAAAACCCTCCTTTAGTCATCTAGGCAGGCAAGAGACATGTGCTAGTTAAGGAAAAAGTCTAGGTGGCCTAGATAACTTGGAGTTCTAGCAGCTTCAGCATGCTTATTACTGTAAAGGGCAGGGAGTGAAATTCTGCAAGTCTTAAAGGCTCCTAACATCTTGTGTTTAGTTAAGTAAATCTTTGTAAGCATTTTCTTAGAAGAATTAAAAAGAAAAACAAAAAAATACTGCAAAAAGGCCAGACAGACATGAGCAGCATGCACTAGGAAGCAAATTCCTCTTTTAAGTTATAAACTGAAGGATTATAGCAACCTTATCCTGGAACATACAGCCCAACAATTCTTTTTCCTCCCCTTCAAAATTTATCTAGGGAAAAAAGAAACATGCTCAATGTGATTAGTGTAAAGTTAAGGTTTAAAAAAAAAGGACACAGTTATACACGAGTACATTTTGGTCCTTTCTACCCTGAATTTTAACAGGGCATATACAAAGGAGGAACGAAACTCCAGAAACCCACTGTGGCAGCAGTTTGTTCATTATTAGAAATGCATGGAGAGAGTTAAAAAGCAGCTGTTTGGTACAGCCACATGCCAAGTCAAAACCAAATCTTTACAGAGGTGATAATTTAACCAAAAAAAAGCACAATCTGATAAAAAGGGGAATGCTTATTCACAATTGTTGAAGTTTGCACCTGGAAAAAGTTAACCAAGCGATGGTTTCCCTGGAATTCTATTTGAACCTTGTGCTACAGTTTACTAGTCCAGCCCAGTGTCCTGTCCTGATAAGTAAACTAAAACAGTTCAGATCCAAATTGCTGAATATAATTTAAATCTGATTCCCATAACTCCAAAAACAAGGGATTTCCAATAACCAAGCCATACACAAAATACGATTTTCACACGCAGTTCTGTTTAAGAGGAACATCTGTGCTGAAGAACCAAAGCTGGTACTTCTGAGGTTGGCACAGTCAGCAACAGCAGGGCAATCAACTGCTAAGTTCTGCGAGTTGTTTCAGTAAAAACTTATAAAAAGTTGAAATTATTGCAATATTTCCTCTTTAATCTTGCACAAAACCAGAACCAGTTCTTGTTATCTCATCTCTCATCAGAAGCTATAATTGCAATACCACTATCATCACAGTAAGACTTACTTAGCCAGGAAAAAAATTTATTCTTATGTTGCTGTTTGGATAGATGAAGCTATAATTTAGTACCACCATAAACTTTTGAATTAATTTAAGTTAGCTTAGGATAGCTGCTGGCATAAACACCTATTAAAATAGGTTTTAGGTATAAGATTTTACAAGGTTAGAGATTACAGTGAATCTAAGAATGTATTTTTTTTTAACTTCTAATGGTAAGAGTCAATAAAGATTTTCTGTTTAGACAAGGAACTAATGGTATGAAACTCAATAACAACTCTTTCAGAAAACATTAAGACAGCTTGCTTCTACAAATCTAATTGGGATGTGAAAGAAAACTCATACTACTAACTATATTCCATTGGCAGTTTTTAAGTCAATTAAACGTAGAAAACTTCAAATACTTTGTTATTAAAATGCACTTAATGTCTTATTTAGTGCTAACTGCAAGACTATAAGAGCAACAAACAATAAAAACACATACAGAGATGCCAACTGCATATAGCAATTGTTTGTCAGTGAAAGCAAATCAGTAGCCAAATGCCTTCATTATTTTTGCATAACCATACCTTACATGGAGCTACAGAAGAGAAAACATCTGGCGTAATAATGTAAGTCTTCTTCTGTTGTATCTCAAAGGACATTCCAGTCATATGAAGTTAAATATCAGTAACAGCTATACATAAATTTTTAGAGAGAGATCTATATATACACACACACACATTTCATTCCTAGGATGGTAATTTTGCCTGAAAACAGTAAACCCAGACTCATATTCATTTTTCTAGTAGTAGGCAATTACGTTTGGATGAGTAACCAATCATTTCCATTACCTTGTCCAGTGCAAATTTGGCGTTTCCTACAGAAGACAGCGATAGCTTGTGGGATCCAACAAGGATGAAATTGGTAGTTCGTACAGCATG